GCCCATCACTCTCAACTCAAGCTACTGAGTCAGTTTGACTTATTGCAGACCATAGGCCTGGAAGGAAGAAGAGGTTTGGGGGAACATGTGGTTCTCCATCTGAATGCTCAGTTTAAATAAAAAAGGCAAGTCATTTATTGAACTGCAAGGGAAAAACAATCTAGTTTTTTTAATTTTATTTTTATTTTTTCCTAGCAACAAGGCAAGCAAAACCAATTATTACTAGTCTGAGTTGAATAAAATATCATTGTTAACAATAACAAAAGAATAACCCAGTTAAGAAATGGACACAGGACTTAAATAGACATTTTCTCCAAAGAAGATACAAATGGCCAATAAGCACATGAAAAGATGCTCAACATCACTAATCATTAGGGAAATGCAAATCAAAACCACTTCAGACCCATTAGAATGGCTTTTATTTAAAATAAATAAAAAGAAAAAGAAAGAAAAGAAAATAAGAAGTGTTGGTGAGGATGTGGAGAAATTGGAACCCTTGTGCATTGCTGGCAGGAATGCAAAATGGTGCAGCCACTGTGAAAAACAGTATGGCAGTTTCTCAAAAACTTGACAATCAAATTCCCATATGATCCAGCAATTCTACTTCTGGGTATATACCCAAAAGAATTGAAAGCAGGAAGGAACTCTAACAGATATTTGTACACTCAAGTTCATGATAGCAATATTCACGGTAGCCAAATGGTGCAAACAGCAGATGAATATGTAAGCAAAATGTAGTAATATGCATACAATGGAATATCATCTGGCCTTTATTTTTTACTTTTTTTTTTCCTGATACATCCTGGCAATCATCCAGCCTTTAAAAAGAAGGAAATTCTGGCACATATTACAATATGGATAAACCTTGAGGACATTATGCTAAGTAAAATAAGGCAGTCACAAAAGGACAAATGTTGTATGATTCCACTTACATGAAGAACTTAGAGTCGTCAAATTCATAAAGACAGAAAGTAGAGCAGGGGGTGCCAGGGGCTGCCCGAGGGGGAGGGGGAGTTAGTACTTACTGGGTGTGGAGTTTCAGTTTGGGAGGATGAGAAAGTTCTGGAGATGGATGGTGGTGATGGTTGCACAATAACACGAATGAGGCAAGGGCGGGGGCTCACACCTGTAATCCTAGCACTCTGGGAGGCCGAGGCGGGAGGATTGATTAAGCTCAGGAGTTCAAGAGGAGCCTGCGCAAGAGCAAGACCCCATCTCTACTTAAAAAAAACAAAATAGAAAAAATTAACCAGGCAACTAAAAAAAATAGAAAAATACGTGAATGCACTTAATGCCACTGAACGGTACACTTGAAATGGTTAAAATAGATTTCATGTTATATATATTTTACCACACAAAAAAATAAAATTAAAACTGATGATGCAGGAACTCATCGCTAGTCACTCATCCTGCTCTTTTCTTTCTCGAACGTCAGCGTGTGGAAGCGCTTCCTCGCATTGGCTTGCGACTTTGGTTTAGCTGGTCTTCCAGGTCAAAATCCCCCAGCTGCAGAATTCTTCTACCACGGGGGATTGCGGGAACATAATCCTCACAGTTGGAGAGGAAATATTTTCTGGAGGGAAGACAAGGGGAGCACTGACTGGGTTTGGGGAGGTGCTTTGATGGCGCCCACTGGGAGAAACTGTTTGTTAGACGTGGGAGGGAAAAGGGAGCAGAGAGATCGCTTCACCCATGGTCTTCACACCTCCTCGGACTCTGCGTCTCTCCTTGGCTCCCCAGTTCTGGGTAGCCACACCCCAGGTTGAAAGAGGAGGAAAGGAAAGTTCCATTCATTCCTCAGACCCCAGCCCTACCCCCGGTCCCCCAGTCCTACCAAGGATGTCAGGAGGACAGTCTCACCAGCAACCTACTGCTCACCTCTGCATGTGCGTATCTGACCCTGAACATCTCAAGTGTTCAGGTTACTGCCGCTCAGGCTGGGGACAGATGTGTTGGTGACAGTACCCCTCCATCATAATGTCCCCACCTCTTTGAGCCTCCCTGTCCCCTTCTCTCCTGCACCCCTGTTCTCTCTGACTACGTCTCTCCCCTCAGCCACCTTGGTTTACATTACGACCCACTCACTTCCACGTCTCCACCCACTTTGCTTCCATTTCAGTTGCTTCAATGCGGGGATGAGAGGACAGGATGCTCCCTTCCCCGGAGCTGCTGGGCCTTGGCTGGGTGTGTGCCCACCAGCCCCTGAGCTGTTGACTCAGTCTCGTGTGTTTGCTGGGAGAGGCTGTCTCATCTATTTCCTCTCCCGGATTCCTCCTTGGGGGCTGGGGGTGAGAGGCTGAGGATGGGGGGTGGCCAACACCCAGGGAAGCCTTCCAGTACACAAACCAGGTGCAGGAAAACCTCTTTTACCGGTGGCTGGGAAGTGGGGCCTCTTGGATTTGCCTGAATGCTCCCCTAAGAATCTCTTTTCTTATCCGACGATCTTCTAAAGTAGGTTTCGAGCTTACCTATGGCAGCTGGAGACTGCACTGTTAGCGAGTAAGGAAAATTAACCATCAGCTTTTTTACTCTGCCAGCGCTCGGCCAGGAACTACTGCTACTAATGAGGATGATGCAAAGAGCTCCCCAGGACCCAAGGAAGCTGCCCAGAAGTTTCCTAAACAGGCCGCCTGTGCAGCTCTGCAGTGGAGAACACCCTGCAGGAAGAGGAACGGGCTGTGCTGAGGTGCCTGCTCTAAGGACGCCCCTGGACAAGCCGGGGTGCTTGTGGTTTGCTCCCGCTACTTCACCAAGGTCTGTTGTGCATCACACTGGGGACTCCCGGCTCTATCTTCTCCAGGGAAGAAGCTGAGAAGCAGCAGCCGTGGCTGCCTCCCAGTGGCCCCGGCTAAAACCTCCGCCCGAGGTGCCCACAGCGGGTCTCAGCGGCAGCAACAGAGACAGGCTCAGGCTTCCCCAAGGCTGGTGACTCAGCGGAGGAGGTTAGGGTGGGACTAGGGGGCCTGGGGGCCACCGCTGGTGACAACAGATTCCAGGAGCTTTTGTGCAGAAGACAGGAAGCTGAGTCCCGAGAACAAGCCCAGCAGCAGAACTGCGACCTAATGAACTTATAGTAATTCCATTTATGTCACTGAATCCTCCTGCACGTTTAGAAAAATAAATCCCCTGCTTCATGCTCCCTAAACGTGCAGCCTGAACCAAGTTCTCAATTCCATAGCCGAGTGACCCTCTTTTCCTTTCCTGCTACCCACTCCCGCCCGAAGCCCCAGCAATTACGCAGGAACATCCATAGTGACGTGGGTGGAGATTTTCCTTTATTCATTTTTATTTTGGAGAGAGGGGACTAGAGCAAAAAGATGATGCCAACAGCCCAGGCACTGGAATGACCCCTGCACGTGCAGACACGTGGATGCTCACTCTGGACTAGTGACTGACAAGTGAACGTGCCCCGTGGAGAGAAAGTCCCTGCAGCTGCAACCCCCTCCCCCATTTTTAGTAGTTTCAAGACCCACACCCACACTCCCCCCAGGGTCGCCTTGTCATTCTCAGTAAGTGCATCTCCTAAGCAAATTGGGCTTCTACTCCTGGGGGCTCAGAGCCCTACCTGCCGAAATAAATATGTGTCCCCACCCCCAGAGATGAAGGGAAAGCGACACGTGATGCCGGAACACAGAGAGACGCTTCGTTTTTCATCATCCACCGGCTTGGGAGAGAGACTGCCTTCCATCATACCAATGAGACAGGAAGGAGCCTCGCCACTTCTCCCACCTCCCCGGGCCTTGTGCAATGTGGCCCTGCCTGATTTAAACGAACCCAGCCAGGAGCCTTCCATCTCTTCCCTTGGAAAAAGCCATTTGGGAGCTAACAGACACAGGACTCAACTGAACATTCAAGCCAAAATGTTCTTCTTACTCAGTTTCTGTTCTCACCAAAGGCCTCATCCTGCTTCTCCAAGGGGATTTCTGAAGTCTGAAGCTCCCAAACCTGGCTCCAAGCCTCCCCAGCAATTCGTGGGCCCCATGAAATGTATTTATTTGGTTGCAACAACCCCTCACTACCCAGTCTCCCCACATCCCCCCAGAGCAGTCTTGGGGTTTTTCTCAGCATCTCTCCCCGTGGTTTGCTGGGGTGTCCTGACTTCGAGGTGTCCAGGGTGGCAGGGGAAGTGTCAGGTGCCTTTGCTTTCTGTCCTCTCCTCCTCAGCTGTCTGAGCGTTGCTGACAGTGCAAAGCTGCCCCTGGGCTGCAGGCTTCACTGACAAGACCAAGCGTTTGCGGAACGTCTCGCAGAGCACGATATACACGAAAGGGTTGAGGCAGCTGTTGGCGTAGCCCAGGCTGATGGCCGCATTGTACAGGTAGACGAAGGTGAGGGTTGGGCGGCTGATGGACAGCTGGGTCAGCTGGAGCACGTAGTAGGGTGCCCAGCACACGAAGAAGACCAGGCAGATGGCGATGGCCGTGCGGGTCACCTTCTTTGTCCGCAGCCGGATGCTGCGTTGGGAGGCAGGGGCCACCGAGGATGTCATGCGCTGCAGGATCCTCACGTAGGCGGCCGTGATGACCACGAAGGGCAGGGCAAAGGCCAGGAAAAACTGGTACAAGGTGAACCAGTAGAGATCAGTGTCCGGGTTGGGCAGGCGGATGCCGCAGCCCACCTTACCCCCGGGGAAGGGGATGAGCCTGGCATAGAGCCACACGGGAGTGATGCTGATGAAGGAGAGGGCCCACAGGAGGCAGATCACCAGGGTGGCCACAGAGGGCTTCCGGAACTTGGTGGAGGAGATGGGGTGGACTGTGGCCAGGTAGCGGTCGATGGCCATGGCGGTGAGGATGTAGGTGCTGGTGAACTGACTGTTGGCATCCATGGCAGTGATGAGGGTGCACATGGTCTCCCCAAAGTGCCAGACACCATTGCCCATGAGCTGGTGGATCATGAAGGGCATGCCCAGGAGAAAGAGGAGATCCACCACCGAGAGGTTGATGATGAAGATGTCGGGGACGTTGCTGCACCAGCGCAGCTTGGACTTCTTCACCACCGCGAAGATGACCGTGGAGTTCCCGATGATGCCCAGAAGGCAGATGGTACCGAACACCGAGGGCATGATGATGTTGATGTAGGAGACACTCCCTGTGCGAGGAGGCGACCCTGGGGACAGAGGGAGCACATGCCGACCATTTGACATGAGCTCCGCTCTTAGGGCTGACGTCCTGCTGTCGTGCTCAGCCTCTGGCTACCCTCTTGCTTACCTTTCAGCCCCCAGTTTCAGCTCAGGGCCCACCGTTCATCTGAATCCTCTCCTGCCATTCTCCCTCCCCACACTGTTGCTAATCCTGTCCCCTTGCCCTGCCCCACTGGTTTCCTGGGGAATTCTACCAGATTCTGTGCAGCCACCTGTGGTTGAAGGACCCAACCCCTTGCCTCCTGCCGGGGAGCCAAGAGCCACAGCTGCCAGAGAATTACTCTGTGCATCCCTGGGCTTCACCAGGAAACCTCGTCTAAATAGTCAGGAGGACATGAAAGTGTGTGTGTGTGTGTGTGTGTGTGTGTGTGTGTATGTGTGTGTCCTCTTCCTATTCACAGCCCTGCTCATTTCATTTTAGAGATCGCTGGCTGGACACTGTATACTGAGTCCTGGGCCTCTCTGTGGGCGACTGTCTTACAGACGCAAAACCGGCTGTGCCTGGGTCACGACAGCCCCCTCCCCGCTCCAGGCTTCCTTCGCCCAGGGATTTCCTTGGTCGGTGTCTTCTGAGCCTGGGCTTCCTGAGTGGAGCAGGGATGAGTGTGTGGCAGCTCGGCAGCCTGAGAATTTTCTCACACAAACCTTTCCTCTTTGCCTTCCTTCCCTTCGCCTTCAAAGCTAGAATCCCAGAGCTTCGCAGCCCTGGAAATGTCAGGAAGCTTAATTCACCAGAAAAGTTAATCCCCTCATGGCTCAGTGAAGCCTTCCCTTCCCACAGCTTCTCCCAGGGGGCGGCGGGGATGTCTCAGACCCCATCGCTGAAGCGGGAGTAAGAAGCCAAGGGCAGCAGCGAGTGAGCCTCACCGTCTCCCACACACCACCCCCCAGCTTCTCTTGCTTGCTTTTCCAGCCTGGAATTTTTTCTGCAAAGCATATTTGGAACTCATCAGCGAGCCTTCCTCTGCCTCCCTCACGGCTGGCCACCATTCCTTGCCTCTTCTGAATGTGCCTTTGCCCTCTCCTCTGCTCCCGGCCGCCCCTGCCTGCTTCTCCCCCTCCCCACTGGGCAAAGCGGACTGCAGATCTTGTCCCCAAGAACTGTAATAAAGTTTTCCAAGCAGTTTGGCTCAGGGGTGAAAGCTTCCCATTTGCCACCCCCAGCCCAGAGGAGGGAGGACTGCCCCCAACTCAACTCACCCGCCGAGGTGAGGTTATCCCGGCCATCAGAGGTGTTGCTGGCATTGGGGCCGGTGGGCAGCAACGAGGCTTCCAGGTCCATCCAGCTGGTGCTGGTCGCTGGTCGCCTGCTGAGTTGAGCTCCCGGCCACCCACGCAGGCTGCGGCAGCCTCTGGCACCCGCCTTGTCCCGGAGCACGAGCTGCAGTCCTGCAGTCCGGAAGGGGGTCTTCCTCGGCAGCCTGACAGCCTCTGCCGCCTCCAAGCCCAAGTGCCCTCCCCACTCCCTCCTTCCCGGCTCCCACTGACATCACCTAGACACATTAACAGTCGCAGGCAGATGCACATTAACCTCTTCAGTCCCGAGCTGGGCTACGGCTCCCACTTCTGACTGCCTGCAGAGCCCAGGGACCCTGGGGAAGGTGGGAGGGGCCCAGCTCAGGCAGCCCCATATGGGAGGGGACCTCCTTCCTACTGGCACTTGGGGCTGTCTCATGAGCTCACAGGGAGTGCTGCTTGCCTTGCGTGAGGATCAAGGTCTCTGCAAAGGCAAAAGGGTAAAGCAAATGGGTCGCCTCCCTTTGGAGGAGACAACAAGGCTGGCCTATCTCCTAACCCCAGGTATGGGTGGCTGGGCCATGTGGCAGGGGTGGGGCGGGGGACCGTTCACAGAGCTTGGGAATCAAAGGCTTGGACTGCAGCCTGCCTGCCCCCAATCCACGCTCGAGGCCACCCTCAGCCCCTTTCCTGTCCCCTGATGGATCCCAATCATCTCCCTGGCCAGACCGCCAGCATCCTTCAGAAGCTGAGCCCTTGTCTGGCGCTCAGAGGTGACCCAGGTCACTCATGCTGGCAATGGCCAGGACCTCAGGGACCAGAAGGGGACAAATTCCCATCTGCTCAAGATCAGCCTGGACAAGGCTTACAAAAGTTTATTTTTCTAGATGCTCTGAGGTCCTTGAGGTTTTACCTGGGACTCTTTGAGACAAATATCGGAGCACGAGCTCCCAAAGAGATCATTGCAGAGAAACAGCCTCAGAGTGCAAAGGCATTGAGCTAATTCTCCGCAGAGGCGTCCTGCTGCCGCCAAGAGCTGCCACCATCCCCTAGCCAGACTCAGGAGTCAGGGGCCCAGGGGGTTCACAGTCTGATCCCCACATAGCTCTTGTCTTGTCTTCTTGCTTGCTTCATCCAGCAAATACTTGTCGCTTACTTACTACTTGCCAAGCACTGTTCTAGGTTCTGCGGTGAAAAAAACAATAGAGTCCCTGTCCTCATGGAAATTATATCCAAGTTAGGAAGACACGGAAAATATACCAAAAAAGGATGATTTATGATCTTGGTGATTGCTGTGAAAAACTTAAAGCAGGACAAGGGCGGGGACAGAGAATAGCGGGTGAGGTGGAGGTGGTTATTTTACACAGGATGGGTCATCAAGGAAGGCCACTTTGGAAAGTCTTGGAGAAAAGTCCTGAAGAGAGTGAGGAAGCATGCTTCCAGTGAGGAAAGCATTCCAGGCCGTGGAATTAGCAGCGCAAAGGCCCTGAGGCAGGCATGTGCGGGGCGTCTATCGCAGATGACATCAGAGAGGCAACAGCGGGAAGGCGGGTTCTGTCAGGGCTTGTCAGCCATTGTGAGGACTTTGGCTTTTCCTTTAGGGGCAATGGTGGTCACCAGAGGGATTTCAGCTGAAAAGAGACATGATCAGGCATGTTTCAAAAAGATGAGCCTGCTGCCAGGTACCAAGGGAAGCAAGCTGAGAAGGTGTTTTAGCTTGAATTCCCTTGAAGGCAGAGCCTGAGAGGACTCACGTGCACATGGTTTAAGAGAAGATCAGAGGAACAGGCGTGAGGGAGGGGAAACAGTGGGACGGGAAAGGAGAAAAAGCCAATTTCAGGGTGTGTGGTCAGTGTTGTTACTGTGGGCAGTAGGGCCTTGAGTTCACCGGGGCCTTGAAAAGTGCACGGACTGTCTTCCCGGACTGTTGCCTGAAGGATGAAAGGTAGGAACGGTTGTCCACTGCCCCTGTCCTGTACTGGTTGAGGGTTGGCCCTGGGGTGTTAACGTTGCACTTCTGGGCATGTGAGCAGAGCAGGCTTCTGTAGCGTCCAGCTTCTGTGGGGCAGAAAGCAAAAACATGTGCAGCTCGTACTTAAGGCAAGAGACGGTCAGCACAAGGTGGATCTGAGCTCACCTGGAACCACTCACCATGGCTGAGGCTAGAATCAGAGGTGGGTGGAGGGAATGCGGTGCAAGGCTCCGGAAGTGTCTCATACAGACCACCCCTCTCACTGCTCAGATTCACTCGTGCCTCACTCCGTCTCCAATCTGTCGCTGAGTGTTCTAGGGTAGCTGGCTGCAGTCTCTACAAGACTGAAATGCATGAACAGTAGTGGAACAAGCTGCAGCCGGTTCCAAGGCCATCATTGATATCCATCATCTCCCTTTTCCTCCATTGCATTCTAGATTTCTCTTACCTTCAGATGGTGCTTTAGCTGGTCTGGGGTGATTGCTTAGTGCAATAATCCAAACCTGAGGGGTCTGAGTTCTCAGTTGCCACAATTGCCTGTCAACCTCCATCACTGGGCATGGAAGCACCAAGAGACATCCCTGAACTCCCCAGACGTATTCCTCCTTGCTCCCATGTGTAGTGGCATCCCCAGCTCTTCATGCTGATCACAGCTGATCATCCCTACAGTATCGTTACTCCATGCTTGGCCTCTTGGACCACTAGCATGACAAGCCCAAAACAAAACCAGGTAAGAGTTTAGCTCCAGGTTCAGTGGAATCCTTACTGAGCCTCCTGGAGGAGCCCCGTCCTCCCTGAGGGCCCCGGAGCACTGCGTTCCTTACTGCATTAGTGAAGGGGGTGCCCTCTGGTCTTCCCTGGAGAACTTAGCTGTGGGTTCTCCAGTCTCACATAATAAATCCCATTCTAACATCCCCACTTCCCTGAGTCTTCTAACGTCTTTCTAGAAGTGGGGCATGGGAATGTATTGTTTAATGGGTACCGAGTTTCTGTTTGGGATGACAGAGAAGTTCTAGAAATGGACAGTGGTGACGGTTGCACAACATTGTGAATGTACTTAATGACACTGAATTGGACACTTAAAAGTAGTTAGAATAGTAAATTTGATGTCATGTTCATTTTACCAGAATGTATAAAACGAAGTGGTAAATTTTATGTGTATTTACCGCCAAAAAAAAACCCCAAACTCTGCTAAGGTGGTCCCGGCATCCCCATCTTATTTTTGCAGACCATTTTGTGGAGCTCTCCCAGAAGCATGTTCTGACTGGCTCCAGGTCTCCTGGCCAGGATGTTGTGTCCCATGTTCCGGGAGAGTGCTCCCCTGTCGAGAAACTACCCCCTTTCGACCCTGTATTTGCACCATGGTCTAGCACCCTCAAGATCCACTCTCACACATGTCCCTTTTATTCCTTCCAGTCTGTATTAGCCGGGTCCTGCTGAGTGAACTATTTTCTCCAAAAGCGGGGACTGTATTTCCCACCTCAGGCTACACAGAGACCTGACCCCAGTTATTGGGTCAGAAGCAATGAGAGGAGATGAGGACAAATATCCTCTGGCGAGGTGTACATCTCAGCCGAATCCTAGCTTGATTTCCAGCCAAGGGCAGGCTGCTCTCCTCTAGCCAGGGGGAGAGGGTTGCTTCTCCTGGTTTAGAATGTTCATAGGGTTCAGAAGAATCTGGGGGTTCAATGGCTCCCAGGTTTTTGGCCCGGGTAACTGGAAGAATGGAGTTGTCATTTACTTAGGGAAGTCTGTGGGAGGAGCAGACATGGAGGAGAAATTAGGAGTTATGTTTTGGACATGGTACATTTGAGATGCCTATTAATATCTGAGTAGAAGTGGTGGGTGTTGGATGTTAGCGTCAGAAGTTCAGCCAGGTATGGTGGCTCACTCCTGTAATCCTAGCACTCTGGGAGGCCAAGGCAGGAGGATCCCTTGAGCTCAGGAGTTTGAGACCAGCCTGAGCAAGAGGGAGACCCTGTCTCTACTAAAAATAGAAAAATTAGCTGGGTGTTATGAAGAGTGCCTGTTGTCCCAGCTACTTGGGGGGCTGAGGCAGGAGGATCCTTGAGCCCAGGAATTTGAGGTTGCTCTGAGCAATGATGATGCGCCACTGCACCCTACCCAGGATGACAGAGCAAGGCTCGGTCTCAAAAAAAAAAAAAGAGGGCCAGGCGCGGTGGCTCACGCCTGTAATCCTAGCTCTCTGGGAGGCCAAGGCGGGTGGATTGTTTGAGCTCAGGAGTTTGAGACCAGCCTGAGCAAGAGCGAGACCCCATCTCTACCAAAAATAGAAAGAAATTAATTGGACAGCTAAAAATATATAGAAAAAATTAGGCGGGCATGGTGGCGCATGCCTGTAGTCCCAGCTACTTGGAAGGCTGAGGCAGAAGGATTGCTTGAGCCCAGGAGTTTGAGGTTGCTGTGAGCTAGGCTGACGCCACAGCACTCACTCTAGCCAGGGCAACAAAGTGAGACTCTGTCTCAAAAAAAAAAAAAAAAAAGAGTCAGAAGTTCAAAGGAGGTGGGGGTGGGGTGGGGGGAGAAGTTCAAGGGAGGTGCTTGGAGATATAAATTTAAATTGACGAGACTGGATGAGTTTACCTAGGAAGTGAGTGTGAATGGAGATGAGTTGTGAGGACTGAGCTCTTGGGCATTCCAAAGTTTACAGTTTGAGAAAATGAGCCTCACTGTCCACTATCTCCTCCTCTTCCACGTGCCGTAGTCTCCTCCCATCTCCATCCATTCATCCATTGGACAAATCATCATGGAGCCGTGGAGCACTTACTATGTACCAGGCGCTATGCTAGGCTTCGTGGATACAGTGAAGAAAAACAAGCAAGTGCCCAGTATTAAGGAGCTTAAACTAAGGTGGGGAGAGACAGATAATAATAAGCAAGCTAATAAGTAGACAAGGTATCCTATTTGGGGTTCGAATCCAGACAAGTCCATGTAACTTAATCGCAAAAGGGTTTAGGTGCTTACAAAATCATGGTTCTGGAATTAGGCCACCCTGCCTTCATCTGCACTAGCAAAATGACTAAGCCCAGTTGGAGGAACTTAAGCCAGGACCGAGCAGCAAGGATAGCAAGGAAGGGTAGGCTTTAGCCTTCTGGCCTTTGCATGCTAGGAGGGGGCTGGAGAGGAGTGAATACTGAGCAAGTCAATCTACAATGCCACCAAAGAAATGAATGGGGTGATAGGAGTGACTCAGGGTGAAAGGGTCCTTTAGAGAGGGGAGTTAGGATGTCCTCTTCAAAGAGGTGTTCAGATAGCATCTTCAATGTATATTCCACTACAAAAGATTAATTTAAACCAGTCAGTTAACAGCAATCCCATTCCCCTTGCTAGTGCCTGTTTTAGGGATGGGCACATCTACTGGACAACCATGTGTATCTCTTTAGATCCTCTTTGCCCGTATTCCATTCATTGGGTGCACATGGTGACCTACTCTGCATAGCCCCCAACCAAGCACAGGAACAGGTGCACGTACAGGCATGACCTCACGGTGCTGTGTCTCAGACCTGCACTGTGTGCCTTTCACCCTCTGTCCTGGAGCTTCTATGTTGCTGCCCCAACTTAGAATGTGGGAACCTGCGAAATGCCCATGCACGAGCAACCCAGAAAGGCAGGGAGCGTTAATGCTCCTTAGGGCAAAACTTTGATGGATGAGGGGAGGAGGGGCGAAAGCCATGGAGAGATGCTTTCCCCTTGATCTCCCAGGACACATGGTCCTGA